CCGATACTGGGCACCTAAAATGATTCTTAAAAATATAATTAATTCTAAAAGTGAAAGGTAAGAAAAATCAATCTTTTGAAATATTGTTAAGAAACACCTTTCCTATTCTCAAGTGAGCATTTAAAAATCGTACCTTTCCTGAAAAGGAAGATATAGCAGTTCAAACCTGAAATGGCCCGAAACTGGGCCACATACTGTACTATTATCATGTAATGGTTTACACAATTTCCTGAAAATGGTCGACGTGTATTAAAAATATAACATTCCTAAACCATGATGGGGTAATAAATTTGATATTAATCATAAAATCGTGAATAAATACCGATACCTCTTTTAGTTGGGCTCTACACACGGGACAGTCATATTCCTTTCTCAACAGACGTAATTTTACACAACATTTCAGACAGATTGGATGATCACAAGACCCACAGGCACTGTACTCCATATCTTCGCAACACAACACGCAGTGTGACTCGTCGATAGACATTCGCTGCGCTGTGGCCATTATTTCGTCGATAATCTTTTACACAGAGAGTAATTGTAGATATTTAAACAGTAAAACAGCTACGAAAACGGAAAACCGCTTCGAAAACGCACAACAGCAAAAAAATTGAAAAATTATAAATTCTTTCAATTTCGATTTTTGAATTTTGAAAGTCATGCTTATGTTTCCACCTCACTCTTGACTCTTGTACATTCATAATTTCCAAATTTTCCTTAAATCGTGAACCTTCAAATTGCCAAATTGGCCTTCTTAAAAGTTAAAATCAATGCCATTTATTTTCTGTTCGTTTTATCACAATACGTTCACCACCCAAGTATCAAAAGTAATTTTCTACTCTTTTTAAATTTTCTCACTTTGGCAAAATTCCACTATCTGAAATATCGGAAATAAAAATTCATTCAAAATGAAAGGGCACAATAGCAAATGGAAGCATCCAAATTTCTCGATTACATCATTATTATGAAATAGGGGAACATCATTGATAATTATGTACCATGATGAATAGGCAAAAGTAAGCTGAGGACATTGAGGTACCAGATTGTTTCTTTAAACCAAATTACATCATCATTGATAACCTGGCCCTCACCCCACTACAACCCCTCCTAACCATCTAATCCCTCACCCTGATGGGGGGGGGGGGGACGAAAATCTTGTTTTTTTTTAAATTACCAATTCAGATAGATAAAAAAACGTATGAATTTATCAATGCATAATTTAATTTAGCGCAGCTTAAAAGGAGTAATTCCTTAAAAATTTTTACATGATAGTTGTTGTATCATCGACTGTCTAGAGTAAACTCAACAATTCAATCTACATTACATTATTACGGGTGTCTTACGCTTAAGATGGTTAATATAAGTTATATACGTCAGAAACAGAAATAATAGATATCTATTATTGTTATTTATCATTTCTATGAGGACAAAACTGTTTGGTTTAGGGTACATTTTATGTACATTTCCAGAGTAATTTGAACCCTCGTGCATGCGAGACAATTTTGTTGCAACTTACAATGCAATTTCAGACACAATTGGGAATTCATTAAATGGGATAACTCACATGCCTAGTTACCACTGTTCTGATAATGCAACCATAGAATGGAACAAAGGTAACCAAGTATTTAAATTATATATGTGAGTGAATTGGGTGGGATAACTCACATGCCTGGTTACTACTGTTCTGATGTTAGCATAGAATGGAACAACAAAGGTAACCAAGTATTTAAACTATATATGTGAGTGAATTAGGTGAGATTACTGAGATAGCTCACATTCCTAGTTACTACTGTTCTGATAATGTAAGCATAGAATGGAACAAAGGTTACCAAGTATTAAATTATATATGTGAGTATCGAGTGACAACGGGTATAACAGAAAATGACTCGTCTACACAAGTAGAAAATTTCACAACTTGTCAACAAGATGTGTTCGCAGCAGGCTTGTAACAACGCTGTAGCAAGCAATTTTATCAAGTTGCTGCGAGGTTGTCAGTTGTCATTCACACTTGTTCACAAAAGGTTGAATTGCAGGACGATAACAAGTTGTTGGAACAACTTGCAACAAGTTTGTTGAGTTCAACGACCTTGTAGTAGCAAATTGTTAACAGGCTGGGAACAAGCAGTGCGAACACATCCTGTAGACAAGTAATTGAAACAGCATTGCTACAAGTCTGCTGCAGGTTTGTTGTAACTTGTGCGTTTTTACGTGTGTAGTACAAATCGCCCAAATTACTCCAGAAATGCAGTGACATTCAGCATGTACCATTTTATATTGCTTCAATTTTTCCATTCTCTATATTTGAACTCTTGGAGAACAAATAAAACATTGAAATCTAACAGTCTAGTCAGTCATCAGCGCGCCAAACAAACACACTAAATGTTTGATTGCTCAGCATTTCATAGTCTAACCGGTGGCCTCTTCTCCATCTTGGACTTGCATATGGTATTTATATGTTTTCTCTGTGGTTTGTAGTGAGCCTTGAAACACAACAATAAAATATTTAAAATATGCAATTAGCCTTTCTCACGAAGGCAAAAATCCGCCATTTTTGGGGTACTGTCTGCCTTGGGGTACTGTACTAAAATGATAACAAGGGGGGCTCTTAAAGGTGCTGGGTGGGGTTTGTGTGTGTGTTGGGGGGGGGGGGAGGTTCACAAGACGTGAGGGGGACAAGGCGTGGAGGGTACAACATGATAAACATGGAAAGTTCCAGTATTTATTTTGGTTTCTATAGTAATTCTTCAATTAGTGTTTTTTGATGAAATGATTGAACTTCAGATAAAAGATTCCGATATACCGAAGCTATTTCATGTCAGAGCCACATATATGCCCTAATAGTATGATCATAGTAATCAAGTACAGATTACTAACATCATTACCGCATCATTTCAACACTACAGTTGCAAAGAACGTTCCAGGTTATGAATCTGCAAAAATATTGGGAGGTTAGCCCCTCCCCCTCACCAAACCGGCATGACATTTTTAACAAGGGGGAGGGGCTCAGCCCCCCTGAGCTTCTAACAATAACCCCTGCATGGTGTTCTCCTAAAATTTTAACAAGGGAAGGGCATGAACCGCCAGATAATTTTCGATTCTTGGGTCTCTGAAACAAGATTTGATGTTATATAAAATGTACAGTTTTACCATATAAACGAGGCCAACATGTTGCTGTACGATAGTGCTTATTTGAAACCCACCTATAATACTACAAATATTAATTTGCTATATTTAACATTACCAGATGAAAGATCAAACGTTCTTCCTTTGATTTTCTTTTCGTGTTGAATAGGCGAAAACCAGTTGTAGACAGAGGACACGATTGGAACTTGACGCAATAGACCCTAAGAATAGATATAGTATAGATTGTAGTCCAGTGTTACTGCAGGAGGAAATCTTAATTAAACTAACCTTATTTATACTGAATAACTTCATCATTTCTAAACTATTCTCGTTAGAGATCCAGTAAGAGTCAGCTCTTATTGCTCCAGTGTTACTGCTGGAGGAAACCTAAACCAAACTGACTTTATTTATACTGGATAGTTCTATCAGTTCTAAACTGTTCTCCCCAGGTCCAGTAAAGATCATCTCTTATTGATCCAGTAATACTATAGGAGGAAACCTAAACTAACTTTACTTATACTGGATAGTTCTATCAGTTCTAAACTGTTCTCCCTAGAGGACCAGTAAGGATCATCTCTTATTGATCCAGTGTTACTTCAGGAGGAAACCTAAACTAAACTAACTTTATTTATACTGGATATATCTATCAGTTCTAAACTGTTCTCTCTAGAGGTCCAGTAAGAGTCATCTCGTATCCTCCAGTGTTACTACAGGAGGAAACCTAAACTAAACTAATATTATTTAAACACAGTCACTAACTTTATAGTCACTACGGGCAATCTCTTTTGGTTCAGTATTACAACAAGAGGAAACCTATACACTAAACTAACTTTATTTATACTGGACACTTTTATCCTTTCTAAAGTATTCTTCCTAGAGGTAAAGGCCACAGATAGAGGAATCTGTACTGATAGGCATTAATCTTCACTCACTTCTTCCATAAGGATATCATTTGAATCTTGAACCAAATCATGTTCAGCTGCTTCGATTCCTTTCCGTATAACTTCAGCCATCTTCTCCATAAACTAGGAATATTGATAAGATCTTGATACATACATTTTCTTCAAATTACCATGCTGGATTAAGTTCAATTAATTATTTTAATCACCTTTGTAGATTCTTGGACTTCTTTAACCGTCTTTTCTAACAGATCCACAATTTCTTGCACACTTACTGTTCTGCTGACCTAAGAAAATTGACAATGGCATTTATTTGTCAGTTTAGTGTATATTTAGATGTCTATTGATGAGACAGCGGTGAGTGCATCAGCAGGAACGTCGCTATAGGGGGGGGGGGGGATGTAACACCTCCCAATAATTCAAACGTTAGTGAAAATTGGTCAAAATGGAACTGATATGTGCCCAAAGTTGGTCAAAATGGAACTGATATTTGCTTAAAATTGAAGGGAAAACTCGGAAAAATTTGGTGAAAGTTTGGGAAACAAGATGGTCGAAGTTGTTAAAAGTTATAAAATGGTTCGCACTTTTAACAATTTTAAAGCTTCAGTTACGTTTGCGGTGAAAAAATCGGAAGCATTGCTTACATTGGTCGAAAAATTTTGAATATGCTTATAATAGTCCGGAAAATTTTTTTTGACTATATTAGTCCGGAAAATTTTTTT